GAATCAATCTTGATGTGCGGGCGGTTCGAGATTGAAATGCAAGCATTTTGCCAGCTTTTTCAACAAATTCAAAAAAATGCTGCTTAGTACTCAAGAGTAGCTTTTCAACTTTATGCGTTAGAAGTAAATTGCACTCAGAATAAAGCTGAAGCCGTTTTTTATACATTGTGGGTGATGGGTTTAAAGAATTCTGGAGGTCTAGCTTAGAAAGTTGGTCAGATATTTCTTTCAATTTAGAATTCTCAGATCTCCTTGACTTACAATCATATGAAATTATTTGTCCTCATATATAACATTTAAATGCTTCCCATAATGTATTGTTATTAACAGAATTGTTGTCATTGATTTCAAAATATGAATCTATATGAGATTTGAGGAAATCTTTGAAACTGTCATCAGAGAGCAAATGTGAACAAAATTTCCATTGTTTAAAATAAGACCTGTCTTGTGGGAACATTAAATCTAATGAGGTAGGAGCATGATCAGAGATGACAATGCTATGATAGTCACAAGAGCTGACAGAGTGCATTAGTCTGTTATCTAAAAGAAAAAAAGTCAATTTGTGAATAAGAATGGTGTACATGCGAAAAGTAAGAGAAAACTTTATTAGTTGGAAATCGTGATCTCCAGTAAACCTTCAGGCCAAGTTGTTTAGTATAAAATTCTAAAAGTTTACTAGAGCTGGACAATGTAGCCTGTTTTGAAGAAGACCTGTCCAATGTAGTATTTTGGACTAAATTAAAATCTCCCCCCATGATTTTGTGGTGGCTATCTAAATTTGGAAGTTTAGAAAAAAGATGAGTATAGAATGCATCATTGTCCCAATTCGGGCCATATACACAAACCAGAACAACTGGGATTGTTTGTAGAATTCCAGAGACAATTACATAACGACCATTTGAATCTAAAATCATTGTTTCTGGTTCAAAAGCTGTGTTCTTATGTACAAGAATTGCTGCACCCCTTGCCTTGACACTAAATTTAGAGTGAAAACAGTAACTAATCCATGCTTTCTTAAGGCGTGAAACATCTGCAGTTCGAAGATGTATTTCTTGTAAAAAAATAATATCTCCTTTAAGAGACTGTAAATGTGAAAAAACTTTTTTGGTCTTAACAACATTATTTAAACCTTTTACATTCCAAGAAATAAAACGAATATTTATTTTAGATCTTTTGGAATTACCAGCCATTTGAAATCACAAATAACTGCTCTAAGAGTTTGATCCAGCTGGTGCGAAGCAGAAATAGGCAAAAGAGGAAAAAAGGAAAATAAACAAATAAATAAAGGGAAAAAAAGTAAGCAACAACCATTTCCATTAAAAAAAGACAAAAAACAAAAACTAAGCCAACAACCCCAAATCACCCTTAAACCAGCAAACAGTATAACTTGCGTATCTACAGATACCATGCTTCCTTATTTACTTCTATTTAACCTACAAACCTTATATTTCCCCAGAAACACATTGTAACCCTATACACGCAAAGTATTATACATATTTTTAACAAACCATCACGAAGAAATTATTCTTATACGACGGTTGTATTATTGCTTATGGAGGTTAGAGCAAACTAAACAAAACGTTAGGGAAGAGCATTGTTAAACAAGTATTAGATTAGTACAGCTCCCAAACATAATAGTTCCAATAACATAACGTATTTCACAGTTTCTTTATGATTTCACTGATGTCTCACCCAACATATGATTAAGAACTGCTGTGGAGGGATTCTAGATATTGCTTGCCCTCCTCTGCCGACGCAAACCACTTGATATTTCCTTCTTTGCTTGTTATTCGAAGTCTCGCCGGGTACAAAAGAGCCGGTTTAAGTCCTTGTTTGTACATTTCGGCAATAACTTTGCGGTATTAAACACGTTGTTCCATTACTTCAGGACTGTAGTCTTCGTAGATTGCAATTGCTTTGGCTTGATATTGTAGCTCGCCTCGTTTTTTATGTGCCTCGCGAGTGACTTTGTCTTTTAGTTGGTATCGATGAAAGCGGACCACGACTGCCCTTGGTCTCTCTTCTGGTTTTGGTTTGGCGATGAAGGACCTGTGCGCACGGGTCACCTTTATATATATAAGTCACCTTTATATATATATATATTTATATATTTGTATATTTTTCATGCTATACAGATATTGTAAAGGACACAATCAATTATAGCAGCTAATTATCAACTAGTGTTGAAATAAGCAGCTGAAGAGCCCAACTAAAGCAGATGCTGACTTACATCATGGTCACTTCAAAAGAACAACAGAAATGTCATAAAGAGCTTTTATCCACATGACAGAAATAAAGTCAGAGCTCAGTAATGTGTGAAGCTTCTGATGTTAGTGGAGTTGTTTAATGATCTCTGCTGAGATCTTCATTTTTATTGTGTAATTATTTTGATTATTATAATTTAATTAAGAGTTTTATTTTCTGTTGATTTCATCTTTGGTTTTGGCTGTAATTTGTGTTTTTATTTCCTTCAGTGATTCTGCTGTTAACAGTTGTTCATCAATTTATCCTTTAATTAGACTCTTAATTATCTGATTAACTTCATCACTGCCTGAGTGTTCAACCCTCTGTAGTGAGGACACTAGTGAGGAGTTTGCTCTGGGATTTAAGGGGTTAAATGTGTTTGATGAAAAATACAGACTGTGGAATGTATTTGATGTATATGTATATGAATTTACAAATTTTTCTTAAATTGCCGGCATTTTTCTGTAAATTTAACAGCTTTTTTTAACAGTGTAAATAAATTACAGCTAAATTATAAATGTTGTGTGGATTGAACTAAACAACATTACCTTTATGTAACTAACTTAAGTTTACTCAAATACATATCCTTTCTTTAAGGTAACTTAACTTGGTTATGTGGAACCTGTTGACCTAAAAAAAGTTAATTAGAGCCAACATATTTTTTTTTTTGAGTGCACCATTGTGGAGGATAGTAGCATCTATGTTCAAATCCAATATGAACTAAGAATAGCTAATGATGTGCTGCATCTTCTTTTGTTTTAAAGTAACTGTGTAGTTATTAATGCAGTGAAAATCTGTTTGCTAATTATACACATGTGAACACATTAGTACTTTGAATGATTTTACGTTTTTGCGAACTGAGCATTGTATTTGTTAATGAAATACGGTTATTTTCTGTAAATATAAACTGTCCTATTAAACTTCCGTATTTTTCCTTGTAACACCTGCTGGTATTTTTCTGTAAATTTAATAGATTTTTTTAACAGTGTAAATAAATGAAAGCTAAATTATTAATGTTGTGTTGATTGAACTAAACAACATTGCATTACCTTTATGTACCTAACTTAATTCACTCAAATAATTATTCTTTCTTTAAGGTAACTTAACTCGGTTACGTGAAACCTGTTGACATAAAAAAGTTATTTAAAGCCAACATATCATTTTTTTAGTGTGGGTCTATTTGAAAAAGGTGTGTATGGAAAAGACCTCAATAAAGATGCCTCCTCTTCTCTTTCTCTCGCGTTTGCTAAATCCTCTTGTCCACTCATTTTTGATCTATGACAAATACTAACGTAATGTTACACTGCAGTCCACTCAGTTAAGTGCGGGTTATTTCAAAACTGACATTTCCGCGCTTGACCAATTACAGCATTCTGTTTAGTTAAAGAAAGAAAGAAAGACAATTTAAATATAATAATAATATATTAATATGTGATAGCGATTTTTTTTTTGCTCAGAGGGATTACAGTTGTCTGAGCAATATAGGTTTTACAGAGAGGGAGGCACCTTTATTAAGGCTAAACATTATTAAATACCCACGAGGGACTTGTGACTTTATCACATTTGCATTATTTTTTAAAAATGTTTCCTTCCTGTTAAAAATAAATATATTTCCAATGTGATATGTAATGGGGAGAAAAAAAGTAGCATGATTTCAGCCGATAGATTCGAACCAGGTTGATGATCAATCGCGTCAAAAGATGTTGCTCTGCGCTCTACGAGGTACGCCAATCAGGCTGTACTAATGATTTGCTCTTTACTCATATATATCCATCAATCAGGCATCAAAGGGTGTAAACCGTGAACAGCTTATTCCAACTAGATGCGCTATTTGAAATTAGCCTAAAAAGACACTCTGAAATTGTTTTTTTTTCTCCCCCTTCGCAGGGGCCCCAAGTGCGCACGGGCCCCTGGGCCTGTGCCCATAAGGCCCATTGGTTAATCCGGCCCTGGTTCCGCCCATGTGCGCGAGGCAGACAGGTCTGTACAATTACGTAATTTATCAGCTTAAATATATCAGCCTAATTTAGACATCGGAGTGATAACAATAATCTTAAAAATAGCATCTATCGGCCGATAACGATATGGCCACCGATGTATCGTGCATATTGTGAAAATAAAAATAGGTGCTAGAAAAAGTGCCTAAAATTCCTTGATTTTCATTAGGCTGTGACTGTATGAACCTTGTATGAAATCAGTGTAACGTTTCAATTGTGAGGTGATAGTAAATTAAGTGATGGTCAATTCTAAGCTCTCTTGGTTGTCAGGTCATGTGTTGTATGTTGCTGAACTGTATTCAAATGGTATAAATGTACAAACACTACATTTTGAAATTTATCTGTAGTATGTCAATTTAGTTTGTTTGTGCTGCGTTCATAGACTTTAGAAAACAACGCTCATTTGTTTGATTTCTCTTCAAGAAGCTGCACAAGCCTCACAAATTTAAGGTCCTTGCAACCCAGCTTGAAAAAGCTTGAGAACCCCTGGTTTAAAACATTTGGGATGTCAGTACATATATCAGAAATATGTTTTTATATTTTAACAAATATGGTAGTATACGTAAACATAGTGTCTCTTTAGTCAAACTGTGTGTTACTTAAAAACCCATCTAAAGATCAGATTTGTGCTTTAGATAGTTACATTTTTACTTTCACATTTTTACTTTGACTTGTTATACGTTATAAGTGTTAGAAACATGATTAACCATACCAAAGAACTGAATAACTTTTTTATTTTTTTCTCTTTCTTTTACTAAGTGGTCAGTTTGCTATCGTGAAATGCTGCAAGGAGAAGAGTACTGGTATGGAGTATGCTGCAAAGTTGATTAAAAAGCGACAGCATCAGGCAAGCCGGAGAGGCATTCAACGAGAGGAGATTGAGAGGGAAGTGAACATCCTCCAAGAGCTTCAGCACCCCAATATCATTGCAATGCATGACCTTTATGAGAACCGCACTGATGTGACGCTTGTCCTGGAGCTGTAAGTCAGAATACATCCTCCCACATTTATGAAAAGTTAGAATTATTCATTTAAACAGCCATCTTTACTCCTCACTACATTATAAGTTGTAACTATTACAGGCTCCATACTCTACACCAGCCTTTGTGTTTAGTTTTTTTTCTTTATTGATTCTCTGTTAAATTTAAGATTTTATGTGTTTAACACCTTAATTTCAAGTACTATGTCCTGATAATTTTTTTCACTAACTAAAATTCCTGCTGGCCTCATCTGAGGATCCCAAACTAACAGTTGCTTAACTTTAACTGATTCATTGGGTCATGTGCATTAGTGGCCAGAAATGATAAGACAGGCCGTTGACAGCTTATCTCCTCAGGTCACCGGCTCACCACCCAGGCCGACTCAGTGCGAGTTGGTCTTTTCTCTCAAACCCAACACCTACTCTAATGTTCGTGCCAGAGTGGCGTTCGTTATTTCCATGCTGACCGGGCGAGCCAGAGACTGGGCAGCGGCTTTATGGTAGGCCAATTCTGATTGTTGTCATCACTTCTTCAGTTTTAAGCCGGAGATGATAAAGGTGTTTGATCAATCAGTCCACGATCATGAGGCCTCGCATCTCCTCTCCACTCTTCGCCACGGACGAGGATCAGCAGCGGACTATGCAATCGAGTTCCACACTCTGGCAGCCACGAGCGATTGGAACGAGCCCGCTCTCGCGGCCTGTTTTCTAAAAGGTCTCAGCGCTGAGGTTTAGGAAGAACTGCTGGCTCACGATCTTCCCACTCGTTTAGATCCACTGGTTGAACTGGCACATCGAGTGGATAAACGCCTCGACCGCCGCAAACATCTCTTCTGTTCCTCACCTGTGTTTTCTGCCCCTCGTACAGGTCCTTTCTCTCTGACGTCACTGCCAGACACCGAGTTCATGCAACAGGGTACCATGCACCTCTCCCAAGTGGAGCGACAGCGCCGTCTAGCGGCAAGACTTTGCATGTACTGCGGGGGTGACGGACATTCACCCTGAGATGTCCTTTAAAGCAGTCTGGCTTATCAGCTGTTGGAGGTGTACAGATGAGCGCAACCACTTCATCTTCATCACTCATGTCCTGTACGTTGCTGAACGTCACTTTACACAACAGGGATTCGTCCATTTTCTGCATGGCGTTCGTTGGTTTTTGTGCAGAGGGGAACTTTATGGATGAGAAATGGGCCAAAGACAATAAGATACCTTTTCAGACACTAGACCCTCCTCTCACCATGTACTCTCTTGATGGACAACCCCTGACCAGGGTCAACATTGTCACTCTTTGTCACTTTGTCTCAATCTATCTGGTTATCACAAGGAGACAATTTCATTTAAGTTATTTCGTTCTCCTTTCACACCATTAGTTTTAGGTCATCCTTGGCTTATCCAACATAATCCTCACATAGACTCGTCTAAAGGGACAATATTTACATGGAGTGTACCTTGTCATGTCAAATGCCTCGTATCTGCTGTACCTGCTGTGTCTTCTGTTTCTGTGTTACAGGAGGAGCCCGGACATTTATCCGGTGTTCCAGAGGAGAACCACGATCTGCGAGTGGTGTTTAGCCACTTACAGGCCGCCTGTCTCCCTCTGCATAGTCCGTATGACTGCAGCATGGATCTCATTCCAGGGGAGCACTCCTCCTCGCGGTAAGCTCTATTCTTTATCCGCTCCCAAGCGCCAAGCCCTTGAGAAGTATTTTTCGGAATCGCTCGCTGCAGGTACTATAGTCCCATCAACCTCTCCGCATAGACTATAGATGGTTAAATACGGTTAATACGGAGGGTTAAATAGGGTTACGGCTTTAGCCTTTGATGTTCTACAGGGCGCTAAGGTTTTCACCATGTTGGATTTACGTAACGCCTACCACTTAGTACGCATTAAACAAAATCATGAGTGGAAAACAGTTTAAAACCCTGCTCGGCCACTTCCCTTCGGTCTAGTAAATGCTCCCTCCGTATTCCAAGCTCTGATTAACGATGTGCTTCGGGACATGCTTAATGTCTTAGTTTTTGTATACTTAGACAATATCCTAGTCTTTTCTCCTAACCTCTCCGTTTCCATCCAACATGTCCGCTTCGTACTACAACGCCTGCTGAAGAATCACCTTTTTGTAAAGGCAGAGAAGTGTGAATTTCATGCCAAATCAGTTACCTTCTTAAGGTCCGTTATCTTGGAGGAGGGGATCAGTTTGGATCCCTCGAAGGTGGGCGTGGTAATCGATTGACCCGTGCCCGACTCACGGACAGCATTGCAAAGATTCCTTGGCTTCGCCAATTTCTACCACCGTTTCATCCGAAACTTTAGTCAAGTTGCCTCCCCGCTGACTGCGCTTACATCCACTAAGATTCAATTCGCTTGGACCCTGGCAGCTCAAACAGCTTTTGAACGCCTTAAGGAGCTTTTCTCCACTGCTCCCATCTTTGTTATTCCCGATCCGTCACGCCAGTTTATCCTCGAGTTAGACGCGTCTAGCGTGGGTGCTGTTTTATCACAACGGGCAGAGGATGACCAGGTCCACCCGTGCGCTTTTTTCTCTCATTGCCTCTCTCCCAATAACGATGTGGGAGATTGCAAACTCCTTACTGTACGCTTGGCCATCGGTGAATGGCGGCAATGGTTAGAGGGATCGTCTGTACCATTTGTTGTCTGGACTGACCACCGAAATTTAATTTTCATTCGCTCGGCCAAGCGACTCAATGCTAGACAAGTGCGATGAGCTCTTTTCTTTAGTCGCTTTGATTTCACGATCTCATAAAGACCCGATAGCAAGAACATTAAATCAGATGCGTTGTCACGTCAATTTAATACCACCGAAGACGAGCAACCTCCCAAAACCATTCTTCCTGAGAGGAGAGTGATAGGCGCAGTTATGAGGAAGATATTTACAATTCACATCACATTTCTGCAAGGAGTTTTGTCGGCAGATAGGGGCCACGGTTAGTTTGTCATCCGATTCCATCCCCAAACGGGCAGGCTGTACGTGTAAACCAGATCCTTGGCCGTCTCCTCCACACTTTAGTCGCCCACAATGCAGCCTCCTGGTGCGAGCAGTTGGGTTGGGCTGAATATGCCTATAATTCACTGCCCACATCAGCCACTGGGCTCTCCCCCTTTCACTGTTGTTTGGGCTACCAACCTCCCTTATTCTCCTTGCAAGAACCTGAGGCTTCTTTCGCCTCCTTACAGGCTTTCATTAGATGATGCCGACGCACTTGGCAAAGAGTGTGTAGATCACTATTTCAGACTCGCAAATGAACACGTCGCAGTGCCAATCTACATCATAAGAAAGCCCCCCGATATGTCTGCGGTCAGAAAGTCTGGATATCCCTCTGCAGACTCCCTCTCGTAAACTCACTCAAAGATTTATAGGACCCATTTCTATCTCTAAGAACATCAACCCTGTAGCTGTCCGCCTCCGTTTACCCCACTCAATGCAGCGCGTTCATCCCGTTTTTCACGTTTCTTGCATTAAGCCCATTATACGCGCTCCCTCCAGAACGTCCCCCTCCTCCCATCCTGCTCTTGTCAATGATAACCCTATTTTTACTGTTAAGAAGATTCTTGCCTCACGTCCCCCTGGCAGGGGTTTTCAGTATCTTGTTGATTGGTAGGGATACGGTCCTGAGGAGAGGAGTTGGGTGGCGGCCCGGGACATTTTGGACCGCTCGCTGATCGAGGACTTCTTAAGCTCTCGGCAGTCTCTCTCTGGGGGCGCCAGGGGTTGACCCACGGGAGAGGGTACTGTTACGGGTCAGGTTTGATCTAAACTTCTGTGTTGTTAACATCAGCTGTTTCTCCTTTCAATCAGCGCTGGTGCGCAAGCATTACTCACCTGTTTCCATTTGAGTCTATTTAAATCCCTTGAAGGTAACCGATTGGCCCGTGCCCGATTCACGGACAGTGTTGCAAAGATTCCTTGGCTTCACCAAATTCTACCACCGTTTCATCCGAAACTTTAGTCAAGTTGCCTCCCCACTGACTGCGCTTACATCCACTAAGATCCAATTCGCTTGGACCCCGGCAGCTTTTGAATGCCTTAAGGAGCTTTTTTCCACCGTTCCCATCCTCGTTTTTCCCGATCTGTCAGGCCAGTTTATCCTCGAGGTAGACGCGTCTAGCATGGGTGCTGTTCTCTCAGAGGATGACCAGGTCCATCCGTGCGCTTTTTTCTCTCATCGCCTCTCTCCCGCCGAGCGCAATTACGATGTGGGACCTCCTCCTTTTTGTCTCACTATATATACCTGCCCCTTCTTGTTACTCTTTGTCGGATTATTGTGCTGATTAAAGCCTACAGACCTGCTCCCTCTCTCTAGTGAACTTAACATCTCAATCTTGTCTAGTCTAGTTACTTTGATTATCAACTTATCGCTTTGCTTACCTGTGATCTGAACAGTCTCCTTGCGGCTGATTCCCAGCTCCTCACCTGCGCTCGCCAGCTACAGCCCTCGCTTTGCTCCAAGGGAGCCGAGGTGGATCACCAGTTGCTCTCACTCCAGTCTGCGTTCTCCCATGGGTGGTTGGAGATCGGCAGCTGCTTTATTTCATCATTTCTTGCGAATAAACTCTTAATTTTGAACTGAACTCTTTCTGTTTTCTATCCAAGTCTGACAAGGCAGAGTTTATATATATATATACATACACACACACACACACACACACACACACACACACATATATATATATATATATATATATATATATATATATATATATATATATATAGTATTTGTATTTGTATTCGAGTAAAATTCAAAATGGCGCAAAAATATATATTTTTTCTATTACACTTCTAATTTACATTATAGTGAAATATTGTTTAATTATACCCATTATATAAATTATAGACATGCAATATTGGTTGTTGTTTTTGAACATGTGACAAGAAACGTCATTGAAAAGAAAATAACATAGAAGCCATTATCTCATCCATGGTTAAACCAACAACTAATAAAATACCATTGTGAATATTATGAACCCCACCACCACTGTTCT